AGAGGGATTCGAAGTGGTATGACCTGAGGAACTGAGACAGAGCCAGCTGTCATTTTTCTCAACAGCGATCTTTAAAAGAGAAAAATAGAAAAGCAGACAGTAATTTTTCTAAACAGAAGAATGCTCTGAGAAATACAGTCCTTTAACATGATTCCTCGTCCTCATTTGTTTCTCTTAAAAGAGAGAACACTGGATTTTTTAAGCTGTTATTTGTCATTAATATTTGCATGGTTTTCACATTGAAACGGGGCAACATCCAACTTCCAACTCAGTCTCCTGTCGCAGAACTGGGAATAAAACTTGAGTACTGTGAGGGAGACTCCACAAGCTCTCTGGGCAGTCCGTCCCAGTGCTCGGTCACCCGCACGGGCAAAGAAGTTCTTCCTCACGTTCATGTGGCACCACCGAGAACAGCCTGGCTCTGTCCTCTCGACATCCACCCACCAACCACGGGCGGATCGGATCTTTACCCGACCTGAGGAGGCTGGCAGCTCTTCCCTCAAGGCGCCGCCTGCTCTTGGCACACCCGGACCAAGGCACGCTGTGCTCCGTTTCAGCCTCCCTGGCGAGACACACACGATCCCGGCGGCAACCCCATCCCCGCCCAGCCCCCGCCAAAGGGCGGCCAAGCCCCCGCACTCCGACCCCTCCCGGCCCGGGCCCCCGCCCCGCTCCGGCCCCGCCGCCCAGCCCCGCTCACCCGCCCGCTCCCGCCGCCCTCCCGTTTCCAGGGGCGACGCGCGCGGCCTCTCCCGCTCCCACTGGTCGCGGCGCAGCAACCGGCCCCGCCCCCCTCCGTCATCTCCCCGCGCCGCACCTGCGAGTACCACATTTGGGGTTTCTTTTTGATGTGTTTAGAGATTTTTGGTCTTTTCCCGATATGTTACTTTGTAAAGCAGAATGTGTTACAGTGGCCTAGAGTAACAGCTGGGTGCAAGCGTAGTAGTTGCAGGGATTCATCAGTTGGAAAGATGGCCACAGGTGATAACTGCAGGGACCATTAACTATGGGGAATTAACCAGCTGGAGAGAAGAGGATGGATGTTAGCCCATGCTCTTATATGTCTTATATGTCTCCTCCGAATCCCTCACAGAATGGTTGTGGATTACTCTGATGGCACACAGGTGGAACATGTCAAGGAATTTTTTTGTATCTTCTGTGAATTTCCTACATCTCACTGGGCATTTCTCTTTACTGTATCAGGAGTCAGCCTGAGATAGGAGCAAGGATCACACTCAGCTACTCCGGCCACGTGTTCAAGAACAGAGGGTATCTGTTTAGTCTTGTTGGGTCAGTGTGGCGTCAACTTGAGTAGCAGCCTCGTATGCCCGCAGCAGTCACCACCCGATGGCTTCATGGCCAGCAATGAAGGAGTCCTTTGTCCCAGAGGCAGTCCCAAAGGCAGAATACCTCGCTCTGAGATGGATTGGATTCTCTCTCTCAGTCGTTCTCCACAAAGTGTCCCATGGGGAAAAAAATTTCCTCTCAGGAAAAGAAAAGGAGTTGTCCAAGACCAGGCTCCCTGCTCTGTCTGGTCAGCCAACCAAAACCAAAACCTCCTCCACACAAAGAGCCTCCCCAGCCATGCTCCGCCACCAACCGCACTGCTCCAGGGAACCTTACCCTGCTCGTTCTTCTCACAGAGATGTGCTCTGAAGCACTTTCAGGCTGGCAGGGTCCTGAGTGTGCACTACAACTCAGGCGGAGTTAATCGAGGCGGGGAAGGACACCTTGCTGCATTCACCCTTCTCCTTGAAGCTGAGAAGATTGTGCCACGCTGTGTGGGGTGAGTACAGTTTAGAGGATGCAAGGGGGTGCTGACTGCCACTCAACTGGGAGCACCTAGAAGTTTGCAATCACAAGGGGGAGGTCACGGAAAACTTTGTCCCTTTTCTTCTTGAGCCGTGTTTAGCTAGTGCTCCATTTTGATCTAGGCTGTGAGGCTGAGAGTTGTGCTGGTAGGTATAAGTGAGAAGTGCAATGCAGCCACGAGCTTTGTGTGGTGCTTTAGTTTCAGGTGAAAGAGTAAAATCAGCTGTGAGTGTTCCTTTAGGACATTTGGCACTGGCTCAGCTGCTGGACTCTATACGGCTATCAAGTCAGATCTGCTGGAGTTGAAAAGAAGGAGAAAGTCTGTCTATGTGAGAAGGAAAGTGACTACCTCCTGAGTTTAGTGTGTAGTGGAAAGGCCATAAGATGAAGGGCAAATCTAGCAACTGTTTTTGCCCTGGCTCATTCTACTGTGCAGCATTGCCAGAGTGGACACTCTGGAACCTGCCGGCATGAAAGTACTTCAGGATACACATAGCTGAGAAGAACATGCAGCGCATTGTCAGATGCGTGCAGCTGAAGGGCTGCGAGCAGAAAGGGACTGCGACTCCACTGTGAAGTTTGCAAATAGTAGGGGTAGGTCACTAAGAGCTTTCTGTCTTGGCGCACTTCCCCCGGGCTGCGTTCTTCTCAGCTAATTGTACCAGAAGCTATTTCAGGCTGGCAGAGTCCAGAGTGTCCTCTCTGGTGCTGCCACGCAGTCAAACGAGCCAGGGAAAACCAGTTGCTGGATTCGCCCTTCTCCTTGCGGCCTTTCGACTACGCACTGCATGCTGGGGCTAGGCACTTTCCTTCTCATATTGTCTTTCCCTTCTCACAGCACTCTCACCTTCTCTTCCACTCTCACAGATCTTACTTGCTAACCCTAAAGAGTCCAGCAGCTGAGCCCATGTAAAATATCCTAAATCTGCCTGGCAATCCTATTAACTTGAGACAAGGGGCAGAGTCTGTAAGCTTAAGAGTATTAACCAATCAGCATCCAACAT